TAGCCGCCTCCCAGCGTCAGTCCGCCAACGCCCGTGTCGGCGACGGTGCCGCCGGGCGTGGCGAGTCTGTGCTGCGCCCCGACTTGGTCAACGTCTCCCCACGCGGCGCCGCCTTGGACGTGGAATAGTTTCTTGTCCGTGTCGACCCTGACGTTCCGCATCTTGGCGTTCAGGTCGATCAGGAGGCCGCCGTTCGTGCTGCTGACTCCCGCGGTCGAGTGTCCGCCACCTTTGACCGCGAGGTCGATGCCCTGGTCCGAGGCATATTTGACGGCGATGGCGACTTCGTCCGCCGTGGTCGGCACGACGACCACGCCGGCTGGTTTCTGCGCGGCGCTGGACCACCGCTTGATCGACGCGGAGTACTCCGTCGCATTGTCGGGGGTGAGGACCGTGGCGTTTGTCGCGGACAGCAACGACTTGAGAGTGGAGATGTCGTCGCTTGTGATGGTCCGCTTGGAGGAGGCCGTGGTGATCGAGCCCATGGTCACGAACACCTATACTACACAGTATAGGGCAATATGGATTCGGTGGTTTCTATGGGGGGGACTTCTTCCGGTGAACCGGCTGGTCAGTCGAACTTGCTTGATAAGACTGAGTATGAGCAGGACGATTCACTCTTCTCTACGAGCAGTGGATCTTGGCTTGGAGTGGAATGACGACGACAGCGAGTGAGGCCCGCGCTTATATACTTGTCAGCTCAATCTGTACTCGGGCCGCGGTCGTATACCCTTCTGACTCGGGAGTGGGGCGGCAGTGGGCAGGGGTGGACGAGATCCAGTGCCCAGTATGGAGTACGTACTCGACACCGGGACTAGCGAATGCGAGGAATGAGATATTGAGGGCCAGGCTGGCGGATGGACACTGGGCAGTTCCCCAATGCTGAACTCTCATGGACGAGCACCCCTCCTCGAGCATATTAGGCTAGAGCCATGCTCATATTTGCTTAACCTAAAGGCCCAGACTGCCTAGTGGCCCAGCAGCCGAACACTGCGGCTTTCAAAGCTGAAGCCTTAAATCGAGGATTACAGTATCATGGTCGCCTGAACGTCTTGAAGCTGTGGGAACGACCGAATATGGCGTTGAATCTCACCCTGGAAACATGACAAAGGCGTGCCAACATGCTCGATTTAGTACCGTGTAATTCGATGCAGAGCTGACTCTACCTTGTGTTGAACTGCTGTAATTGACTTGTCTGGCGACTTCTATTGTCGACGCTGAAATCAACTTGAAGAGCCTGGAGATTCCCCACCTTGTCCACCCGCCTAGATGCCTACCTAGTACCTCCCCTCGTTATACTCCACATTGCGACTCGACTTCCAGTTGATGGTGCCGTGAAACGAGTACCCAGTAGGGCGACTTGCTACCGCTTCCTCGAGCTGCAATAACTTGATGCCTGCATGCCGAGTACCAAGACACTCTCACATGAGTCATTTTGTCCCCCGTTATAGGTATCAAGATCGTTCGTGTTCACACCGGCAGCACCTTGGCTGCGTCGAATACGCTTCGTGGACTAGACCCCAATCCGAATACGATTTGAGTCGGCTTGATCATTTCTTCCGTACGAAGGCTGAGAAATCAAGCAGAGCACGATGACTTTGTGAAGAATGAGCGAGGACGAGCTCCACGACGCTTGGAAAGAGCGCAACGCGTCTCAATTTCGATGTAAGTTCCGGACGAGCGTCGACCAGCTGAACATAGTGCAGGCTCCCGCCTTCCACTTACCGCTGATGAATTTGGCAGGCAGGGAAGTGCGTCACTTGATTCGCGAAGGAGTCCAACACGACGCGGCAGACAATGATACCGGTGGTGTCCGTTCCGTATGAGCTGAGCGGGTCCCTCTGATGGTTCACCACGTTCCAATGGCTTCCCGCATCATCAGTGCAGACAGATATTTCGGCCGGTCATCATGCGCCCAAAGCATATCCAGTGTGGTCCTAGTCGTTCTCTGCCGTTCACTCTCGAGATGGTATCGGAGTCGTTCTTTCAAGCGTGCAGAGCTTCGGGTGCTGAATGAGGGAGACCGATTTGAGAAGCGATTATTCCCATGACCTCCAAGCATTGAAATCGTCAGCTTCATGTGAATCCGGAGATGCTGTCGCATCCTCGCCTGCTCTAGCAGGCATGAATCTCCCGCCTTATCCTCGTCGTCATCATCCGCAGCCGCTTCTTAGCCCTTGACGGGGGAGAGCCATCCCTGCTGCTCACAAGCCCGGAAGATTAGTTTCTCAATGGAGGTCTCGGAGGGTTGGGAACCAACTACCGGCGGTTTATCGATGTCCGCAGAGCTGGATGGAGGAATTCTTTCTGGAGTCAAGTATGCGGGTGCCCAAACGCGGCGCAGAATATCCGTGTCATTGCGCTTCCATTTCCACGAACCGATGTAATAATTGTCTATCACAGTTCAGCACAAAACCTGACTGCAAACAGGATCAAGAGTCCCGGGTGTATCAAAGAAGTAGACCGATATTCAACAGGAAGCCCGGAGGTATTAAGAGAGGTCTGGTAATCGTGAGAAATAGGAAGCCTCAGCTGGACATTCTGCTAAATGGTGTGTCGTTACCCCTTAGGTGCCGGGACAAAGAGGCACTTTGTCCCTCCGCACTTGCGACCACTTCAGTCTCAATTGTAATTATGCTTCATGGTGGCCAGCAGACTCTTCTCATTGCCACCGTGGGTATCCTCCAGTTGAGGAATTCTTCCTTCTCTTTCAGCTCGGTCCACTGCCTCTGGATCGTCCACATTTACGCCAGCAACTTCGGCTTCCACTTGTCGAATTGGACCTTTGAACCACTTCCTCGCCCACAGAGCCCAGCTGGCAAGGCACCAGAATGCGATGATGCCCACAGCGACGGGAGTATAATTCAACGTCTGTGAATTGACGGGATTGAGCTCCGGCAGACAGAAAATGATGGTGATGAAGCCGATCCACAGACATGCGATGATGGCGACCGGTCGGGAGAACCCTTTCAGGTTGAAAGGTCCATGAATGAAGCCTCCTGGGTTTATCAGGCCGATCAGGATGGGGAGACCATAAGACAGGTAAAGTCCAATCGTGGCGATCGAGGTGGCTGCCGAGAAAGCCACCGAGGATCCTAGACTGGGTACGGCCAGTAGAAACGACAGGATTACAGCCAGCCAGATCGTTCGGATCGGGCTGCGGAAGCGGGCATCGACGCTGTGAAAAAAATGCGGGATACCGCCGTCTCGTGCGAAACTGAACATCATGCGTGAATTCGAGGTCAAGCTGAAAAGGCCGCAGTGCCACACACAGACAATGACCAGCACGAAGAGCACAATAGCACTGGTCTTGCCAAACACGTCGACCAGGATTTGTAGCACTGGATTGCCGTACTCGGGCGCAGCGGTGGCGTCAAAGTCCTGAATGCTGAAAAGAAGGCAAAGGATGAGGAACCAGCCAAAGACAGCGGAGCAGCCAATCGACATCAGAACACCCAATGGTGCTGACCAGGATGCGTTCTGTGTTTCTTCCGAGAGGTGCGCGCTGCGATCAGGTTAGTATAAGTCCAGAATTTTGATTTGTATGAGGCCACACAAACCTTGCATCGAAGCCAGTGATGGTGTATTGTGACATCAGGATACCAATACAAGCAACGTAGGCCGAAGAAGCTCGAATTGACCACCCCGGATCACCGGTTCCGTCATAGAAGGTCGCGAATACGAATTTTGCCGACTGATGATGAGGAGCCTTGGCCACGACGGCCACTGCGAAGGAGAAGACACCCAGGGAATGTAGAGTGATCGATGCGTTGTTCAGATAGCGCAAAATGTGTACGCCGAAGGAGTTCACCATGCCGTGGGAGAACAAAAGTGCCGCATAGATACCCAATGTCCGGCCCGCTGTTGGCTCGTAACCATTGACAGTTGCCAGAGTAGAAATGAGCCCAGCACAACCAAAGGTGATGCCCGTCGTGACCGCAACTTGACCCAGCAGATTGAACCACCCCGTCACCCAACTCGCGAACGGGGCCCATTTCTTCGGCGCCAGGATAGCTGCCCAGAAATAGGGACCTCCCGCACTGGGGATGGCACTGACAATCTCTGCCATGCCCAGACCGACGAACATGGTGAAGAATGAAACGACCAGCCAGCCGCAGGACATGACGCCTGGGCCCCCGGTGTTGAGCCCATAGCTGAAGAGAGTGGTGATGCCAGTAATAACCGAGATGATGCTGAACGAGACCCCAAAATTGTGAATCAAAGACCAATCACGCTTCAACTCCTGTTTGTATCCCAGTTCTCGTAAACGCCCCTCATCCTTGGACATGCTGCGCGTAGCGTTGCCGGTACGTTCGCTGTCAGCCATAGCTGCTTGTGTTGCTGAGACTCTATGTCGACTCTCGTATAGCCTGAGGCAGCTAATGACGATGATGTAGTTTCGTGGGGGAATGCGGGGTGAGCAGCGTGGGAGCAGCAGCTCTGCCTTGCTTGTGACGGTAGTGCCACGGCCGAGCTCTCACAGATGAGCAGGCTAGCTGCTGGAAGAGGGGAAAGCGTGCATCTTTATAATTTCCAGCCCAGAAGATAGCCAGTAATACTAGCGTTACAGCAGGGAGTCGCGTGGTCGATAACAGACATCCAGCGAAGAGCTCGATAGGTGAAAGATAATGGCTTGACACCCTTGTCAAGCCCTGCCAAGCTCAAATAAGCGTTACCTGTTCCAGGCAGAGCACCCGAGCTTTCGAGCCTTCAAGAGAGGTGTCCCACTGGCCAGCTCAGTCATCCAACTTAATCAGAGGAAGAGGGATACCTTCTGGTTATGAGCCTCCCAGTTAGCGTGCAGGATAGCCACGTGTGCTTCCGATATTCTTAAAAGCTGGCGTCAACTGAATAGATATGGGAAAAACTTGAACGGCTCGGAATGATGTAATGTTCCCTCCACACCGAGCGTGGGGCGTGGCATCTTGCTGGTTCCGGAGCTTATCTGTACTTGGCGAGTTGTCTCAACTTGGCGATCTCCGGACTTCCCAAGCCTCTTGTCACCACCAGAAGCTTACACTGATGCCCACAGAGCAACTCCGCACATAATGCCACCATCCGATCGGTATATATAGAGCTTGGCCAGCCTCGAGGACGCATTCCACGTAGGGCACTTGGCTGATACCAGGATACACATCGTCCCAATCTTCCAACGGCGACAGTTCCATGGCGGCCACGTCAATCTGTGACGTGTTAGACATGTCAATCGTGTCTTGTGCTTGTCCGTCTGCACCCACGATGTCGCTCAGCTCTTCTAGATCTTCCGGCCGCCGATCATGAGGAGCGGGCTCATCTGCCCGCTTCGGTAGTAGTGCCTTGCTGTGGTGTGGTGAGTATAATCTCACGTATTTCTTGCCGACTACCTGGCACAGGATGTTGTGGTAAGGATCATGGTGAAGTGGTGATATTGTCCAGGCTGGTCCAAACCAGATGTTCATTCGTGGCTCGCTGTCGAGATCTTCTTCGTCGGTGGTGTCTCTCCCGCTAGAAGGGGAGCATGCCATGGAAGGAGTAGTGATAGGGTTGGTCGTCGTCCTTTTTGCCCTTTCCTTTACCTTCTTCAAAGCAACCGGCGTACCAGCTTCAGCAGGAGGGGCGTCCAGGTAGCAATAGTCAGGGACTGCGACGTCGTTCCGAAGGGCGGGAATCTGTTTGAAAAGGTCGTGCTGTGCCAAGTAGCCTGTTTGTCCGCAATCTGCAGACTCGCCATCAGGACCACGGTTGAATGCTTGTTGGATGTAATGGGTAAGAAATTCTCGAAAGGGGACAATTTTCTGGCCCCAGTCATCGTCAGTGTAGCTTCGGCCTACTTCGATTGGCACTAGGCGACGCCCACCTAGGGTGATCTGAAGCCAGAACGAACTACTTTTCCACTTGCTCAACGCTGGCCAGTGGCCAAGCACGTTTGTCAGAACAGCAGGTTCTCGTCTTTGCTGAATGTGCTTTGCGAAATCTGTAAGGGAAGGACGATCGAGGGTCTCAACAGGAAAGTTGAGGGATGGCACAGAGACACTGTCGACAACAAAAGAATCACTGGTTTTCTCAGCCAGACAGGGTTCGAGCCGCCGTCTCTTTTGCGGGCGCTCGTCGACATCACCGACGCCTCGTACGATAGACTGGAGTTCGGCTAAAATACCATGAATCAGCTCTTCGCGGCCGACTCCTCCGGCCATGATGAGGGCCATGTCTAGAATTGAAACGATTTCGTCAAGCTGCGTTTCCAGTCGATAGCGGGTCACTGAATCTTCCTCGGAAGAAGAGTCGAGCCTGACTAACTTCAGCACTTTAGCGACGCTGGCGTCACTATACAGCCGGAACCAACACGTCTTGACGTCCTTGAAGGGAAAGGTATGCAGCTTCTTGTCTGCCAAGTCGAGGAAATGATCTGGCTGATCAAGGATTTTACCCGCATCGACGCCATCAGGAAAACACTGGTGGATGGCATCGTGAGGAGGCACTTCCTTCAATTTGGCTCTTATGGACTGCCAGTAGGCGACACCACGTTTTTGAAGCATCATAATCAAGATGTGCGGGTGATCGGGAAGTGAAGAATGGCTGAGACTGTTCTCAGTCGGAGTGAGTGATGCGGGTAGATGCAGTGATTGGCTGAGTCTGTGCGCAGGTGGAGTCAATGTGGATGGCTGGGCTTGGCAACTTTGTGAAAGTGAGGCAACAGCCCAACTCGCTCGTCCTTGTCCTCCGTCCTTCCCTGCGCTTTTCACACTGTGTCGCAGACACAGCTCGGGCTTTTCTTTATCTCGATCTAACCTCAGTCGGCAAATTGATCTGCGCGCGTGTGAGGTTACCGCTTATCTGAGGCATAATCGTGCCTTGGATCCCTTCCTCTACAAAGGTCACGAATCCACCTGCGACCAGTGCTCCGGTCTTGGGATTGAGGCTTCGAATTGGACTGTCTGGCTGCGCTGGTCCTCGAAATACCTTTGCGAACTTAGCTGGATCCTGATTTGGACTCCCTTCCGAGACAGCAGTCAACCATGGCTGATGTATCTTCTACCCGGCTCTACCTGGGCAATCTACCGCGCAACAGTATGCATACCTTGCTCTGATCTTCTTCTTTTGGTCTCCCAGGACAATGTTGCACTCTTGGAGGATAGTCAGACGATATTTCCGGACTGCACTTGCTGATCTCTGCGAATGCGCCGCCCGCTGACTCCCGCCTTTCTTCACCTTCAGTCACGAAACAGGATATCGAGGAGCACTTTGGCACCCATGGCGCGGGCACCATCAAGGAAATCAAGCTCATGAATGGCTTCGGCTTCATTGAATATGAGGATGCCATGGACGCCCGGGACGTTGTCCCAGGTAAGTCCTTTACTCTCAAACCCGATTGATCTATGCTAACGCTTTCCCAGCCTTCCGTATGATCAGCCTACCTCTCCTATCCCTCCTCGTGGCCCACCCTGACAAGCTCAATAGATGGAACCGAGTTCAAGGGCGAACGATTGACTGTCCAGTTCGCTCGTGGACCGCGCCGGAAGGATGATTTTGCAGGTCCCTCCGACCGCAACATCCCCCGGCCTCGTCGCACAATCTACCGCATGCAAATCACTGGTCTTCAACCGGATACTAGTTGGCAGGTCAGCAAACCCTTTGTGCCATACCCATGATATATTCTGGATGGAGACGTTCCCAGACGAAGAGGACTCTGTCTGCGGGCCTGCGGTTTTGTTGTTCCAAAGTTCTAGAGTCCCGTCGTAATGGGCCAGCGGAGCGCGTGAATGTTCCCAAACACGCCTGGATTGCGAAAATCTTCGCCGCGACCCATCCCGTTTTCCCAACCGCAACTCTTCCTGCTATAGTGGCTTTGGACTGTGCTCACCAAATACCAGGATCTCAAAGATTTCGCTCGAAACTCTGGTCAACTGGATGTCGTCTACTCAGAAACTGGCCGTGACCGCGATGGGAAGGGGTAACTACTATTTTCTTCTCGGTGTAATGGCCTGTACTCACGTTTGCCAAGGTTTGTGGAATTTGAAACCGCAGCCGACCTCAAAACCGCGGTGGAGAAGCTAGATGGGCAAACTTTCAAAGGAGCCACTGTCCATTGCTCTGCTGATGTAAGTTTCCACTGTTGGCATTATCTAATACTTTCTAAGTTGTCCGCAGATTCAGGACGAGAAACCCGATGCACGGAGCTATCGCCAACGATCCCCAGCAAGAGGCCGCTACGGACCACCAGATGACGATCGTCGGCCGCCTCCTCGCGGATGGAGCCCTCGAGGATATGGGCGAGAACGCTCACCTGGACGTCGCCCGCCGGTTGATGACTATTATGATCGAGGTTACGGTAGACGCAGCCCACCCCGTGACTATGGACCGCCGCCACCACGAAGATATGATGCCGACCCATATGATCTTCGGGGACCGCCTCCACCACCGGTTCGAGGCTACGGAGACCCATACGCTCGAGGTGATCCCTACGGTCGACCCAGAAGCCCACCTCGCTATGGTTATGCTGGCGGCTATGGTTACGATGATCGGCGATATTAGAATGGTTCTACTGTCCTCTGGCCGCCTGCACCATCCCAGGCTCGACTGGACATGCCGTCGACTACTTGAAGCGCGACAGCTGCGCTGGCAATGCCGGGACTGAGCAGGACCCCCAATGGCATTGGTGAACACAAACTTGCTCTTGGTCTGACCTGGAGCCCTCTTCGCGAGTACTGCGCTCACAAATGTCATAACAATGTTTCTTCGGTGTAATTCTTGCTGCGACTCCACAGGTTGTACTATGGAAGGGATTCCCAAGCTGGATTGGTTCGATTCTAGGAGGACGGCCACTGCATTCGGCAGAGAGATCCCTCCTGTTCAAACCCGAAATGATGGAGCGACGACATACTAAAGTGCTTACAATCAAAATACGCGAGTGCAAACCGTCACTTTGGACCTTCTGTTCCCTGGCCCTAATAGACTGGAAGCATATTACCATGAGGCCTATTGCGTTTAGCTCTGGAGCTGGCCCGGGAATACCTCACCTCCTAAAATGACTCCTCCCAGTGTTCCAAGCCACCCGGTACTGGTAGGAGAATCCGGCGTTGTGATGGTAAGGCTGACCATTTCATCTTGATCCAAGTCCGAGCTTGAGACCATTGATTGTAGACCAGCACGGAAGTAGTCTCGCTAGACCTTTTTGTTGAGAGGACACTGGCGACCAGCTGTCGTGACCACTCTCAATATCGGTACGATTTACAAAGTAGAGGTCACCAAAGAGTAAGGTTGGCTTACATAGCCAGTGTCGAGATCGATCGAATCCACGCTTTGCTACGAGGGCTATCGATGTCGCCGTGAGACCGTCATAAGACGTTGCCACCAAGTACCACAACGTCCAGTACCGGTGAACCGCTGCAATCACCAATGGTTCAGCAAGTGCTCCTCCAGACGCTTCACCACATACTGGCGCAGGAGAACACTCTATATGCAACCTCAGCCTCACTTCGAGTCCAAATGGCCGCTTGACGTGCTGAATTTCCCCATTGATGTTAAGGGGATTTGAGGATATAGAATCTCCTTTGAACATCCCCAATTGTCACCATAGTCCGTTATCCGCTGATTGCTTCCTTGAGATACTCTGCAGCTACGTCGAGCCTGCATGTACAGGGTCCTCTGTCCTGTTTGGGAGCAAGCTGTACTCTTAAAAAGGGGGTACAATGAACTCATTAAGCCCTACTCAGGTGGTTCGGCATCATTCCTGGGGCTGGAAAATTCTCATTTATATTTGCATTTCACATACATCATACCCGCGCTTCATGTTCACGTTCACATCGTAGCTCGTTATTTGGTCATTCACACCACTCTGGGGGATCGGGGTTTGGGTGGCGTGTTCATTCATGTCCGGCGGCCGAAGAATTTCTTGCGCAAGCCCTGAGATCTGCTGATCTCCTTCAACTTGGCCGGGTCTGCAGGGACGTCTCTTTCGCGGTCTTTCTGCTTGCCCTTGGTTTCGGAGGCGGCAGTGTTGGGCCGTGAACGACTCGCTTGTGCTGGTGACGACGGTGCTTGTCCCGGAGTTGGGCCCGACACCAGGGGAGGCGAGGGTCGCACAGGCAGGGCGGTCAAGCCTGGCGAGCTTACTTGGCGCTGGCGTTGCGGCTGTTGCGGCTGTTGCGCGTAGTAGTTGCGCTGTGGTGAGGCCATGTGTTGGGTCTGTGCGGCGTGTGGCTCTCCCAGTGGGTGGGATATAGGATATGTTCCCATGGAAGAAGTGGGGATGGGGGCATTCTCGCTGCCTGTGGGCCGATGACCTCTCGCGGAGGACCCGGTACTCCAGACGGTAGCAGGGCTTGCGGGAGATGCCACCGCTCTTCTTCCTCCTCCTCCACCGGGGGTCTGTGGCTGCCGCCGCTGCTGCTGCTGGACGTCCCGGCCATCCTCCACCACCTCCTCGTCGTCGTCATCAGACTCGTAATCATACTCGTCCTCGTCCTCGTCTTCGTCTTCGTCGTCCCCGTCATCGAACGACCGCTCGGGATCCCCGTTGTACACCACCCACCATCCGATCTTCTCGCCCTCGGCTATCTTGTCCCGCAGGTCGGCGAGCGCTTCCCAGGCTTTATTCGTCAAACCGGGCCCATCGGCAATGACTTCCTCCACGTTGACGCTCAAGGCCGTGATGTCCGCGAGCGAGTTGAACGGCGCGGACTTGGACATGGGCAGCGTTGCCGAGCGGGGTGCTCTCTTCTGGTGCTGGCCAGGCGAGTCTGGGTGCTGCTGCTGCTGCTGGTGTTGTTGTTGTTGTTGGAAACCTCCAGACCGTCCGGTTTCCGGCCCGTTCATACCCATTCCCGGACTCGCCGCGATGACGACGACCTTGTCCCCGACGTACGCGTACGGCTGGCTGACCGCGTACGGCCCGTCCACGTCCTCCGGGTTATACTGTTCGATGAACTCGAGTCTTCTGCCGCCGGGCGCGCCCTTGGCGCCGGCCATGCCAGGCTGCATGTATGCTTCGTTGTCCGGGTCCGAGTGGTCCAGCTCTTTCATGATCTCGGGGTAGGCCGTGCGGAAGGAGCGCAGCAGGTCGCGCCGCGAGTTGGCGTTCTGGATGTACTCGACCGAGACGTCGTCGAGGTTGTTGATGACGGCGTGGACACGGATGCCCGTGAAGCCTTCGCGCGGCCAGCGGAAGCCATGAACCAAGTAGACGGGCATTGCGCGGGACGGGCGGAGGGCGCTGCAGATCCGTACTGCAATCCAACGCGACGCGATCGTCCCTCGCAGAGGGTATAGCTGTGGACACAGATATGGATATGTATATCGATATCGATATCGATATCGGTCCTTGTGTAAGATATGGGTCTTCAGCTCTTGCGCTGCAGCTGACTTGCTAGCTAGCTAGCCGTTCATCAACACGTCCGCACGCCGCCGTGATATACCAGGATATGGATATGGATGTGGATATGGAGCCGCTTGTGGCAGAAGCATGTTCGGCGCTCTCTCAAGAGGGGAGCAAACTTTTGGGAACTTCCTCTCACTTGGGTTTCGTGAGGGAAATTTTTCTTCCCGCGGAAGCGCCCACTACGTACTGTAGGCGGCTCTTTGTGCAACCACAGCACACGGCACAAAGCACAGGGGTACGAGGGACGCGTTGCGCCGTATGGACTGTCTTAGTCTGTCTAATTATGGCATTTTTCTGGTTGGAACTGACATTAAGCGACAGGCGAGCTGCAGCTGCAGTTGGGGATCAAAGCCTGCGGGGCGAAGGGGCCTTTTCCCACGTGGTGCAAAAATTCCCGATCAAATGAATCGCTCGCTTTCTGCCCTGAGCAAACGAGGTATAGTACTCCGTGTAGTTCTCCGTACTGTGTACAGTAATCACATCTTGCGGGATGGGGAGTTAGCCTTGCCAGGTTGCAGATCTGACGTCCTCGTCACATCCACATGCATGCCTACCGGCTGCGGCATGGTGCCAACGGTTTACAATGCTCGGCTGCGACGAGCTCGAGAGTCGTCGGTTTCGTTGATATGGACAATGCGGCGCGTCTTACGGGAACGAAGGGCGAAGAGGGAAAGCAGTGCTGAGAGAGGAGGCAAGCCCCAAACTGGATACCTTGTGCCGGGCCGCTTTGCTGTCACAAACATCCAGTCGCTTGCGATCGCTTCCTATACTGAAACTCTCGCGAGATCATAACAAGCCAATGTACTGTCCCTAGCTCTTTGACGCGGGACTTATCAGTGGAAGCGAGGACACCGGTTCAAAGCTCAAGAGGGGTAGACCACCTGGCTTGCTGCTGCTGGTAACCACTATTCCGCTCTTGACGATTCCAGCGATGTTGGACGCAGCTACCTTTTCAGGTTCAGCGCCACTACCGACTTCTCTCGTGGTATTTGTTCCAGCTCGTCTCAAACGTCTCCTGATTCTCGGCAAACTTCTTGATGTAATCCTTCTCCAGCTCATGCGCTCTCTGACCAAGCAGCACGAGGCTATGCAGCGGAGGGCCTAGGTCGACATCACATAGCTCCCTCAGAGTGCCGCAAGCAAATTTCTGATCGTCTGCTCCGACTCTGGCGCATCCGATGGCTAGACTGTCTTCCGAGTATACGCTCTCTCGCTTCTCTTCTTCAATCTCAAGCATTTGCTGCGCGCACTGCGAGACGGTCATGTAGCGAGGTGGCTCATAGATCTTCCTACCCCGGGCCATATTCTCGAGTGACTGCTCTTTGACCTTGATATCGAGAAGTAAAAGTGTGTGCAGCCCAATCCAGCTATTCTCCCGGATGCGATCATAGAAACTGGCTGGTTTCCAGGTCTCGGTAAAGAAGACCATCGACACGGTTTGCCCAAAATTGTACAGCTGCAAACCCGTGGCACCAATGGCGTTGAGGATGGAGGCGTTGGGGATGGATTTGGTGGGTATCGACAGTTCTTGCGCTCGGAGGACGAGATCTGTGTGAGTGGTCGCACTGCAACCCCGGTCAGTCAGAGACCAGGCAGGTTGTAGGGACGGGCAGGGGAGGGACAGTTATCATACGTACCCGAAAGGGTCACCGACAACCAGGAAAGCAATGTCAACTTTGTCAGCGCCTTCCAGGATCTCGTCGCTGGCGGACTCGACCATTTCGCGGTCTGCTACGATCACGGGTCGTCCATAGAATGACTCCTACCTTGACTGTCAGATGGTGATCATGTCAGCAAGATATGCGACGACAGGAGATAGAAACAAGGGCAAGAAGGTCCCGTCATACCAGTCTCTCCTTGCCGACATGTAGAATGCTGGTGTACGCTTCGAGGTAGACTCTCTCGGCGCGCTTCACCACCTCCAGGCCTTTGACAGTGATGTCGGTCTCATCGGCGAGACCGAGACCCACGAGATAGAGCATCTTCACCCAGTAAACCGCGTGACTACAGACCCAGGAGTAACAGCAACAGTCGACGGCGGGGTACACGGCCGGAAGAAAACATTCAACGGGGACGAATATTTGGTGGGTCGATGGTCGTTCGGGTAAACGTCGCGTAAGTCAGTCATTTCTCACAAACGACGACTTGCCCGAATCGAACACGTTCCATCAACCACTGTGCGAGTCTATCTGTATATTATCATCATTGCTGCTGTTGTTTTGAAACATTTCCATATCCACATCGAGGGGTCGAAAAAAGTGACTACCACCAGAGGGTCGCTAGTTGGTAGAACCGTCAAGATGGCAGCCGAGAGGCCAGCAAAGTACAGGCAGGAGATCCAGCAGGTGAGAACACCTTTCATTCCTATCGCTTTCCACTACGATTTGTATGGTTTCTGGCATCTACGAAGGCCCGACAAGTCCTGGTATTGGTATTGGTATCTTATGCCCCGCCAAAAAGCAATCAGAGCCACCTTCGTCGCAGCCTTTGCCTGCTTCAAGGACACCCAGACATGATACCACAAGTGGATGGGAAGGAAATCTAGATCGACAGCCCGTAGATAAGCACGCACTGTACCGGTCATCTTTCTGTCGAACATTGAAGCCCAGAATCTACTCATGTCCTCTGCGGATCTGCCAGACCCGACCGCGAGACAAGAACACCGCGGACAGACCGCTTTACATACACAACAATGGCGACAATGTGCTTTGGAATTGAAATTCCCAACTCTGGACTCACGCGACACACAGAGCACGTTGGATACCGAACGCCAACATGGACAATCACAATACTGGAGATCGTCGAAGCCAAATAGCCCGGGCTTTGGTTCTGGGTGGCACCATACAAGAGTCTACCTCTGCTACAGCATTCGCATCCTCATCCGCATCCAGTGCCTACGACCATGATGACGAAACCGCCGAGGATTTCAAACAGAGACTAATCTACCTTCTCGAACAGATGATGTTCGTCAGCGGCGAAACGGCCGAACCCAGCACCGAGACCACGTGGATGATCGAGGAGATCGTGCGCGAGCAGGTGATAGAAATGGTATGCCCGTCCCCATCCGAGCTAGTAGCTATGGTCTCTGGTGCAGCGACTAATAACCCACCCGCCCCAGCTGACCCGAGCGACCATGCTCGCGAACCGGCGCGGCTCCAGATCCATCTCCATAGGCGACCTGATCTTCCAGATCCGGCACGACCGAGCCAAAGTGTCGCGGCTCAAGACGTTCCTCTCGTGGAAGGACGTGCGCAAGAACGTCAAGGATTCGGACGACAAAGGCGGCGGTGATGCCGGTGACGTCGGGGATTTCGAGGAGGTAAGAAGAAAGTTGTATTTGCCCGTCTAATCTTTCCATGTCAAACATCCTTCTCAATCTCCAACGTCCATCACTAACTTGATGACATTGCTAAGGCCTCCGGCGGCGTCAACCCGGCGGCACCTCCCAAAACCAGCGCGGCGAAAAAAGCCAAGCTCGTCCTCCCCTGGGAGATCCACTCCTTTTACGCCGAGCAAGTCCCCGAGCGGGACGACGAAGAAGACGAAGAAGAAGAGGAACAGAACGAAGCCACGTTGGCGCGCCTGGCGTCCGCGGACGAACGCACCAAGAACATGACGCGCGAAGAGTACGTCTACTGGAGCGACTGCCGGCAAGCGAGCTTCACGTTCCGCAAGAGCAAACGGTTCCGCGAGTGGGCCGGCTTCGGCACCATCCTGGACAGCAAACCGAACGACGACGTCGTCGACATTTTGGGCTTTCTGACGTTCGAGATCGTCCAGACCCTCACCGAGGAGGCCCTGAAAGTCAAGACGGCCGAGGATGCCGCGAATCGGAAACTCAACGGCGGCAGACCCGGCGAGGAGGCGAGCAAGAAACGCAAGCGCGAAGGCTGCAGTCTGTTTGAGATGCCCGAGGAGGGACGCACGCCCGTCGAGCCCAAGCATGTGAGGGAGGCGTTTCGGCGCCTTCAGGTCGTGCCGACAAAGTATAAGTTCATGAGGCAGGGGTTCGCGGGCATGAGGACGCCGCTGAGGTTGATTTAGGAAGAGACAGAGAGAGGGGAAGAGAGATTTGTTCGCAGCGGAGGCGGAGGCGGGGGCAGAAGCAGAGGCGAAGGCAGAAGCAGAGGTGGAGGCAGAAGCTGAAGCATCTGCGCTGCTCTGTTTCAATGTCTATGGAACAATCCGGCGATACGATACGGTACGATGATATGGCACAAGGGATTAGTCGTTGAGTCGGCGTTCAGGAGTCAGCTCGATCATGATACCCCTGTTGGCAAGGAAATCAGCCTGCAGACCATTGGGAGGGTAAGGTGGTCTAGAGGACTACCGGTGTACAAAGTATGACCATTTCGATGTTTGTGAACAACGCTTACCGTAAGCTTGTGACCTTGCTGCTATATTTTCTTTCGGATGCGCTTGCATCGCTCGGTATGCGAACCGTAGGCGCGCACTTCCATATGCAGGGATCAGGCTTTACTGTAGTACTGGCCTAGCTGTTGAGACAACAGACAGCGGACGTCATGAAAGGGATATAGAGGGTTTCGGTACGAGGACGACGAGCCAGAATCTGGATTGTTGGGTCACGAAATATCCGTACGTATGAGGATACGGCTGATCCCCTCTTACAGTTGACATGTATCTATATGCCCGCGACCTCCTAGTCCTGTGCTGGACTTGTTGAGGTTCAAGCATAGGTCGTCCTGTCGTCGTCTCCATCTTCGTGCGTTGATTAGCACGGGAGACAAACGACGCGTATGCTCACACGCCGTCTCATCAGGATTCGCAATAGGCAGGAAGGACATGAACTAATTTGTGGGCAAATACAAGTACATAGCCGGGTGATGGAATACTGTAGCTGGCAAAGAGCAACACTACGGTACTTGTACCAGGGGTTAGCGCCTTGAAGTACAGCTTTTATCACCTCCCACAGGGTGCATCCTCGAGCTCTACGACGAGATAAACAAGCAACAGTCAACATTTCGAGAACACAATATTCGCCCCCGTGCTCAGCGTTGGACCTCTCTTAAAGAGAATGAAAATCCCGCAGCCTCAAAACCATCCTCCGCTGTAGCATCGTATTGCCCAGGTGAATGATCACGCCGTAGCTACCAGTCTCGTACTGGCATTCCCGAACACCGAGCTCGACGCCAGCCTCTTGATGATCGCCCAGTTCTCGGAGTGTCACAGTTCCACGTTGCTTCGAGCCCTTTGTGTCCCAGAAGCCACTCTCATTCTTGGTATCGGAGGTGGATATCCCCGAAATGCCCGCGGCGAAACCGAACGACTTCGTGAAAATGGAGAGAAGGTAGAAGCCATCGCTGAAAAGGTATAGGGAAATCGTCTCGTGGCGCGAGACCCGCGCGTAGTTGCTGGTGGAGCTCTCCGACCCGGACTTTGTGTAGGACCCGACAAGTGCATGAGACGCCACGTTGGTCGTTTCAAGCGAGAGGAAGCGGATACTGCGGGCGATTGTGTTGACCATCGCTCGCATAGCGTTTGCATCTGCACCGGGACTGTTGCCACAGAGATACACGCCATTGTTGTGTGCGTTGGAACCAAGGATAACCGAGTATATAGTATTCAGGTTCTCGCCCCTATGGCAGCTGCTTGTCGCCGTGATGCCAGGAGACGAAAGTGCCAAAGGTTGTGCACCTGACACCAAGGTCAACGTCATGCCACCATTGTTTACCCAGGTCTGGCTCTGTCGTGCTCGATGCTCGTTGATCCCGTCGTGGGAGTATATCACGTTGAGAGAGATGTGGAATGGGACATTAGCCCGACCGGAAGGCACAGTCAATACCCTGTTGGCTGGTCCGGAAACTCCAGCCACAATGGTGTGATTGGCAGGCAGCGATGCCGTCACTCCTATAATGGGAAAGCTGTACGATCTCCATCCAGCAGGAGTGGACGTCCTTTCGATGCCGGACGTTGTAGAGTCCAGCCGAGGTGATGGGCTCGGTGTCGACGTAACGCGATATGTCGCAGGGTCGAGTATCCTGAGTAACGTGGCAGCCATTTCTGCAGCCTCTTCTTCTGAAGGTCGATCAGTGGTATTTGCGATTCGCGAAGAATCACCTGATTGCGAAGTTCGGGCAGCAGCAATGCTTTGTGCCTCAAGCCGTTCAGCCTGTAACCTGACTTCCTCGGTCACGGCTGCGGCTCTTCTTTGGTACTCTGCAAGTGCGGCTCTTTCGTCTGCTTTTTCTGTCGCATGCCTCAATGCTTCACCGACGAGAAACCCCAATCCTTTGAAGAGCGAGGAAGTTCGCGAGTGCGGCGCTGAACCTGGACTGGCACCGGGAGCTGATGGGTCCATTGTTCCGGTATTGAACGCAGTAAGATGACCAGCGACAATGCCAAGGGTCGTGGAGATGTAGTAGTCGGGAATCACGTCTTGCGCGGTAAAGATAAGGGAGCGGGATGATCGCTGGTTGAGTAAGTTTACCTGCCTGAACTGCACGTAAACGGCCAACCTCTTCGAGGAATTCCCAGGTAATATAGCTTCGTAGATAGAGAGACAATTGGAGCCTCTTCATCAAAGAAGGCACCATGCTGGTCCCACATGTGATGTTCCAAAAGGGCCATATACGCAAGTGGGCCATGCTCGGTAGCACCAGTAACTGGCAGGTCAGCTGAAAACAAGACGGAGACCAAGGAGAGCTAGATGGGAAATGTCAGTGTGCAGGGCTATGTCAGTTCAACTTCCCGATTCCAAGGAGAGGCTGTGGTGCATCTAGCCCTACCAGCAAGCGAGGAATCTCGTATTCTGCCGAATTAGCTCAGTGCCCAGAATTGCTGGGTTCGTGTTCCCTCTGGGTTTGAAGGCACTGTTGCACCTAGCACGGGGAACTTCTGTCACTCAACAAAGGTCGATTGTGATATCGACGCTGCATTGCCACCGACATGGATGAAGGGGGTATATCGTGGCTGGTGGATTAGGTTTCCTGAGAAAGAGATGAGCCACGTTATCGGCAAGAATTCAGCCCTGTGGCCATCCATCGGCGGCGTGGCGCATAAGTCGTCGCTACACATTAGAATGACGATGCCAGGCGTATCGCAGGGCTGTCGCCATGTCATGGCTGATTAGGGGACAAGGCGGCGCTCAAAATACAGAAGTGTCGAGATGGGAAAGCAAAGGTAGCCCGATGACGTCATTGTCCACCACAAGGCTACGTCGCAGCCTCGAGCCATGCAAAGAACGAGGCGAAGAGGCAACCGGCCGTTGGAGTCATATGATTGCACCAACACCCAGGCTAACTAAACGACTAATTGTATGCCTCTCAACCCCTTCATCTTCTCACCCACGCAGTTCATTCGCATCTTCGTGATCGTCAACATCACGACCTACGTTACCGCCAGAGCCTACCTGGACGCTCAGTCACAATCACCAGTCAACCAACCCCGCCCCACCGAGCACTCCTTCCGGAAACCCCTCCCCGCGTCCACGCCGATGGCGCCCAAGAACAAAGGCGAAAACACCAAGAAAGCCGCGGGCAACGCGCGAAAAGCCGAAGCCGCGGCCTCCAAACAAGCACAAGCGGATCGTGCCAACGAAGAGCGAGAATCCGAGAAATGGAACCAAGGCGCCAAAGATTCCTCGAAAAAGCAAGCCGCCGCAGCGAAAGCGGCCGAACAGGCTGCGAAAAAGGCCGAGCGGGACGCCCTGTTGGCCGAGGAGGAGAAGAATCAACCCAGCAAACCCAAGGGGGCGGGCAAGAAGACGGCCGAGAAGAAGAATGTGGGACGGCCACTAGATCTGGGACAGCTCGACGATGGACCATCGGGCGCGGAGGGAAAGATGAAGGCTATCAGCGCCTCCGGGATTGATAACGCCCTGGACGCGCTGAGTCTGACGACAGGATCTGCGAACGACATGAAACTGGATCGTCATCCGGAGAGGAGATATGCAGCGGCGTACAAAGCGTACGAGGAGAGACGATTACCCGAGGTGAAGATAGAGAATCCAGGACTGAGGAGGAACCAACAGATCGAATTGATCAGGAAGGAGTTTGAGAGGTCGGAAGAGAATCCATTCAACCAGCAAGGCAACGTCCGGTACGATGCCTCCAAAGAAGAGTTGGCCGACGCGAGGAGACAGCACAGAGAGGGCATCGAGAAGAGGCTCGGGGAGAAATGAGAGTATTATTCTTTAACGACCATGTGATGCTGACGGGTTTGGAACTCGGTGGCCCTGATCTCTGGCTAGAATCCAGTGCTCCCATCAGATATAAAGAGCCAACTGTTGCTGTTGGATCAAGACTGAGTAGGGGTCCGGTGCGGCAGTGATGATGTTATGCGCACCACCACCAGCATTTAAAATGAGACTATGAAGTACGAAAGAACATGACAACGAAGACTGGAATGGGTATAAAGGCTCGATGACGGGAGCACCAGCCATGACTCACCATGCGCATGAAACGGTTATGCCGGACGTTGAGCTGCCGAGTGTAGATGAAGAACCAGAGGAGACGGCCGTTACGCCTCCGTAGACTCAACACTGATAGCATGTGCATCTAGAATCGCTTACTATGAAATATATAGAATCGTCTCGTCTCATCTCGTCTCGTCTCATAAAATTGACATATACTCTGCAGCTGAGAAAACTGCTCAGCCTCGAGAGATTGCCACAACCAATCCGAACCTTTTGCCCACCACAGCGAACCCGCCGAAATCATGCTTCTCAAAGGTTGTTACGGGGCACATGCCACAAAATCGTCCCCACTCGCTCCATTGTGTGTTATGACAGCGGCGTAGGCACCATTTCCGTTGAAAATCACCCGATCAGCCCCCGGACTCCCACCAGAATAGACCTGAAAGCTGCTCAAGATCGGGAACTCATACCACGGTCCGCTGACAGGGAAGTCGAACCCCTCAAAGTTGTTATACTGATGGGGGTAGTCGCCAGAGCCCAGCGTTTGGCCGGATTCGAGGAGCTCGAAGCCCCTTGAGACGGCGGCGTTGATATCGGACTGCCAGTAACAGACGTTCGCGCAGGTCTCGACGCAGGATTGGCGCTTTGCGAAGGGGCTGAACTCCCGGGGCCACAAAGAAGGCGAGGCGGGAGATTTGGTTGATGGGAAGCCCGGTGGGAGGGCTATGACGGGAGTCACGGCGATGAGGACACCAGCCAAGATCTGAAGTATGTTAGTCCGTAAGATAGATGGTGGGATTTGGTAGTGATATACTTGTGAGAGCTGCATTATGGCTGAGTTGACTTGGAACAGGTCGATGGGAAATACTCGAGACTGATGCCGTATCGCGGTGAGAGGCCGTTGGCTCTGAAACCTCTTGACAGTTGCTCCTGGTTTGCTGCGCGTTGTGAAGTGACCCTCGACTCTACCTCGTACTTTTATATATCCGTCCAGAGTCCTCGGAGACAACTCACGGAACGGGACCCCACCTACTCACCGGCGTGTGTTGTAACACAAACACAATCCACCCTCATCCTGTGATCATCATGCCGCATCGGCGCCGGCCGCTCACAGAGATAGAACATGGTTCTTCGTATAAACCCAACACGCAACATCCACAGTGCTTCCTTGACACGCCTCGTCTGACCAGGATACCAACAGGGAACGATCAACCCAGATCGACCTGCAACTCTGCAGATGGCGGAAGCAGGTACCCACAGCCTTGAGATAGGCGAGATATGAATGGCTCATCCTGAGAGCTTACCCCGGACAAGCGGCTGCGGAGCGGTAGAACGTCCGCATCAGGACGGAGGAGAGGCGTGATAAGGTGTACCGTGTGAACAAGCAACAACGCGCAAGCATCAGCCCAGCGACCTCCTGCCGCAACAGGTACCATTCTGCTGCACCTATCATAGCCCCGATACTGAGCACGAAAGCCAAAGTCCGAGTCGACAGAGACGCTGGGGGATCGACATGGCCCACGGTTTCCTGACGGTCTTGGCATGCTGATTGGTCTAGAGACCATCGGCCAGCAAAAAGAAACGAGATTAGACGACCGAGGCTCACGCCTGCGTATGCAATCGTCGGTCTCCTTCCTATTCCGCCGCTGCCGGCAAACAAACGACTTTGAACTTGGAGCCTTGTCATGTTTCGTAGATGTAACATAAGCCGGTGAACAGCCTTGTTTTCGGGTCGGATCTGCTCTCGTGCATGAGAGTGTCGGAAGGATGCTATCTGGTCATGTCCACTCCGTGGCACGTTGACCGTGATAACAATTGTGCTTTGTTGTTTCCTTTTGTCAGCATGGAGGAATGCCCATTACCTACTCTCTGCAGAGTCGTCTGTTGCATGCAATGATCCATCCAATACTGAGGCTGAAGTCGAGCACGCAGAGCACGTTCGCTCGCCGTGTCTTGTTACGAGCGCATGACTGTTCGCACATCCCAGACGCAGAGACGTTCGTCCCAACCACAACTGGCGGCCCAGCCCTCGGAACCGAACAAACACCAGTCGACACCTGTCACAAACTCGGTATGTCTGCCCATACTGCCGAGTTCTCTGGCGGGGCCGCCTTGCTCGCCGCCGTCTGTCCAGACTCGACAGGTCATGTCGTAGCTGGCGCTGAGTAGCAGATCCGGGAGGTGCGGGCTCCATGCAACCTTCCGTACCGCGTAACCGTGACCTTGCAACAGCTGCAGCGGGCCCTTGGGCTGACGAATATCGAATGTTCGAATGATTCTGTCAACACCGCCCGTCGCGACGACTGTGCCTCGGTACTTGTTCCAATCATGAGTCAAGGCTTCCGCAGGTGGGAAGGTTGGTTGGATTTTCGCGATGCCTGCGCCGGCGGACAGCGGAGCGGCATGGATCGGGATCTGCAATATGAGATGGTTGCTTGCGCTTGCGGGAGTTCTCAAATCCCACACCCGCAGATGGCTGTCTGAACATACAGCACTGAGCATGCCATCATTGTGAGGATTCCACTGGACACTGTATGTGCACGAATGGGTAGGAAGTGTCAGCAAACTCTGCTGGCGTTCCGGATTCCATATCTTGACGGTCCCATCCCACGAAGAAGAGGCAAAGGTTGCCTTTGACGTGAGATTCCAGCTACATGAAAAGGCTTCTCGAGAATGCTCTTCGAACTTTGCAATGGGGAACTCAGGAGCCAAGGACGTGTCATAGAGACGCAGCGCACCGTCGCCGGACGAGGTCAGCAGATGAAAGGAGTGTGCTTCGGAATGCGTTACGTCGTAGAGGGCGTCTTGTGTAGGGTAGCTGGTGGATAGGCACAAGCAGTTAGCACCAGCTTCTTGCGTTGAAAGAGCAGGTGAAGTATGAGCCAGTACACTTTGAGAGGCACGATGCCATGGGAAGTCAGCTCTAGGACGTAGAGCCGGCCATTGCCAACCAAGCCATAGTTTGCGGCGGCGGCGACGGCTATCCGATTGTCGAAGAATGGAGAATACTTGACTGAGTAGCCTTGAAAGCCTTGGGTGCGAAATTCTAGCATGGCTGATCTCGATCCTCACTCATTGCGCTTGGGATGTATTCGAGATCTCCCATCCACCCAAACTCCTCACGAATACGGTGTGTAATGTCGTGCCGACTGTGCGAAAGCTACAAATAGAGAGCAGACAGAGTAGTTGGCAGTTCGCAGTTTGCAGTTTGCACTGCGCTTCGCACTTTGGCGGGCCGAGGTTTCTTCCCTCTTCCTTCTTCCCCCACCGCCGTCATTGTGGCTTCCTGCGCGTAATTGACAGCGTTCAGACGGGCATTGCTGAGAAATTCGCTCCTGCTAGGGATATGTGCCGTACGTTTTCCAGGCGCGATTTCGCAGCTACTGTAACAGTAGTCGTTCCGGCCATCCTCGTCAAAACACATATTATGGCTCCGAGTCGAGGCGAAACTCACCATGGACGCGTTCATCTCGAGGAAGAGGCGTTGCGAGTCGCCCTCACCGCGGGCTGAATGTCACGGGAATCACACTCCAACACCACCAGCCGAGCAGGAAGAGGAGTCGACCGATATCAAGCTGGCAATCCTGTCGTCCCTCCATCCAGCCAGATCGCAGGACGACTTGCTGGAGATTCTACTCAGCTGCGATGGCTCGGTGGCTGCTGCAATCGAAGCCCTCTCCACAGATCGCGAAGATGTCCCACCACCACTAAAGCGTCGACTCACCACCATCCCGGGCACGCAAAGCGCCTTGCCCTTCAAATCCGGGAGCAACAGTCCCTCAAAGACAGCGGTGCAGCCGTTGACCCGCAAAGGCAAAACCCTCCACTTGTACACCCCGGAAGATATCGCAAACAACACGCCCTGCTCCATCATTCACAACTTCCTGCCTCCCTACCTCGCCAATGCCCTTCTCGAAGAACTCCTTGCCGAAGTCCCAAGCTACGAGTCCATCCAGTTCAGGATCTTCGACAACGTGGTCAAGTCTCCTCACACGGCATGTTTCTACGTTGACAGCTTGGCGGACATCCAACGGCAGCGAAGCGAGTACTACTACAACGGCAACGATCTTGGCGATATCCGACAGCTCCTCCCCATCATGAGGCAAGTTAGCGATCTGGTGCGTGACGCAGTGAACAAAGAGATCGACATTCGCATCCGTGACTTCTATCCGGACGGCAAGAGACTAAAGTATCAATCGCCCAAGCTCTGGCAGCCGAACGCAGCATTCGTCAACTGCTACGACGGCGGCGCCCAACATGTGGGATATCATTCCGACCAGCTCTCCTATTTGGGTCCCCGAGCCATTATCGGTAGTCTCAGTCTGGGCGTGGCGAGAGAATTCCGTGTCCGAAAGATCGTGCCCAAGGATGATCCAATCGACGAGAATGCCCGTATCAAGGCCGACAGTAGCACTCCTGCGGCCGATATCTCCGGGCAGATCGCCATCCATCTCCCGCATAATTCTCTGCTTGTGATGCACGCCGAGATGCAGGAGGAATGGAAACACAGCATCGCCCCAGCCGTCAACATCACGCCCCACCCCGTCGCGGGCAATAAGCGCATCAACATCACATACCGCTGGTACCGGGAGGAGTTCCGCCCCAAGTACACGCCCAAGTGCAAATGTGGTCTCCCCACCGTGCTGAAGACGGTCCAGAAGCAGAAGGCCAACAGAGGCCGGTACATGTGGATGTGTCAAGTGGGGAGTAAACCCGGGGGAGGTACAGGGTGCGGCCATTTCGAATGGGCACAGTTTACCGACGACGGCGTTCCCGTGGGTTGGAAGGCCGTAGCGGATGAGGACGATCTGAAGAAGGAGATGGGGGTGTTGCGGGACCCGGAGCAGCACCTCGAGAAGACAGACCTCAAGACATACAATGAGTGAGAAGGACGTTGGGGAGAACCTCAAGACATAGAGTGAGTGAGAAAGACGTTGCCTAACGACGTCAAAACATAAAGTAAGTCTCGAAAAGACTTTTGCGGGCATTTGAGACCCTCGAGGACGACCGAGCTACAGTATCCTGCCTCCAAAAACATATCCACCAAGACCCGAAAAATGATACTTACAGGCCTAGGCCTGCCTTGGGTCTTTGATGGTGGAAGAGAGGTCATATATCACCACCAACACCGTCTTTGTCATTGTCACAGTCCTGTCCGTGTAAGATCAGTCCAGTAACACCGTCTTTGTTCATGTCATGTCACACTCCTGTCTGTGTAAGATCAGTCCAGTCCAGTCCAGTGCCTCCTTATTGACGACTCTCTAGCCATGAATTGACCGAGCACCGGGTACTGTACACGATCGTACGAGGGACCACCCGCCTTGAGAGAGGAACGGGCAGGAGGTCAGCCAGCCAGCCAGCCAGCTTTTTTCCTTTCTCCCTTCTTCCCCCCACCTGTGTACTAGTAGTCTATCGAGTCGTCTGACGCTAGACAACGCGACAACACGACAACAATGAGGTCGCTAATTAAAAAGTAAAAAAGCGAAGAACTCAGAGGCCGTGCAGTTGGGCATCTCTCAGTCAACCGAAGCAAGTCAGTTGAGCTGATCTCCCCCCTCCCAGCCGTCAGAGATATTCACGACAGGACGAATTTGCATCTTCACAAGACAAGTCGCGTTCTCACAAGACAAGTCGCGTCTTCATCGATTCTCTGCAATTCTGGCCGTGGCGATACCTCATGTTCCAATGGTACGTGCAGAGGCTACAAACAGAACGTGTTCATTTCTCCTACCAGGCCCTCATAGCCAAGGCGGCCCCATCAGTCCAGTCTCATCATATAGGCTGCTAGCCTCATCATTCAGCCCTGAGTTTTCTCTCATGTGGCGCCATACCAAGGCGGCCTTGTCAATACTGTGGACACTTGCCGCTTCCTCATCGTCGATTCTCATACCGACCTCTACGCCAGCAACTGGCCGCATTTCTGTGTTTTCCTATTCCACGTTCTTCTTCCTCAACGACATCTTGCTGACCACTGCTCTCGCGCGGTGTAGAGACTTTGTGACTGTAGATGGCTTCTTCGGTGTTGACTGACTGTTTTGGGCGTGATAGTAATGAGCATCGAGATTAGCGAGGTCGATCTGCACGGAGCGAGGAACAGCGTCGCCAAAGACAAGCCGGAAGTCCTTGATTAGCGTCATTGCCTCGTCGGCAGGAAAGTCGATGTGGAGCTGAACTTTTGATTCTGCGACTGAGGTAAGGTGTAGGTAGCTGCCTGGGCCAGGGTTGAGTGCGTGGATGATGGAAGTCGAGAGTGCGTTGGTAAGGGCGGTGATGGCGGAGGTGATCACTAGTGAGCCAACCTGGCAGACAGCACGAGTTTCCAGCGTGGTGTTCTCAGGTAAGAAAGCGTGTCGGTATCTGAGGATTGCGTGAACAAAAACAGGTTCGCTTTTCTTGCTGTCTATCTCGAGCGTCTGAAGGAATTGGTCGATCAGCGCAAGCGACGACCGCACGGAGGTGGACATTCTGGCTGCCAGATTGTTCTCTTTGAGGCTGATTTTGATCATCACGACCCAGCGGTCGTTGACTCGGAGAGTTTGGCACTGAGGAGCCCCGAACTCCCGAACCACGGTGGCAGGGCCTTCAATGTCAAAGGCGACGTGGAGGCCGTCCAGGTAACCGGGATCGTTGTCCAGTTGGTTGGCAAGAGGGCCGCGTCGGGAAAGGCGCTGTTGCTCCTGAAGGGCATTTTGAAGCTCGCAAGTCACGTCGACGATGACATAGGCATAGGGCTTGCGGCCCATGTCCTCTCCGACCACAAAAGCGCTCATTGTCACCGTTGGCACAGCGATCGCCGGCAGCCACAGTGGTGGCGGTTGCAGTGGATTGGGACGTTGATTGCCGCCAGCATCAACCGCAGCCATATCATGCTCTTGGTCAATCGATACCCGCCTGTAGTAATGAGATGGAGAGGGTGATGGCGGTGATGAAGTGAATGACGGAGCTCCGAACGACAGGCAACCTGAGGTGCTATTGCTGCTGCTGTGTCTGTGCCAAAGTGAAGAGAAGGATCCTGAAAATGACCTGAAGGAAAACGTTTTGTTCTTCTCAGATGCCACACGCGACGAAATACTGCCGCTCTCGTTCAAGTTCGGATTCATCACCCTCAGCACCTTCGGTGTGACATCGACCTCCTCTTCGTTCATCATGTTACCGTGTTCGAAGCTCTCTGATGGTGGCCGTGGTAAGACGAAAACGAGCAGGTTTGTTGACCCTTTCAAACTGTCCAATGCTGTTGCTGACGATGACCAGGTGTTGACAGCGTCGTCTCGAGGTGGTCGTCATTAAAAATCCGTTGGCACAACCAGCGCTTGCTGCAGATATCCTACTCGAGTACCAGTCTTATATCAGTGAAGACCGACAGCTGCTCCATTGAGACGCCCAATATGCAGCTCACGGTTTGCTTGATGCTTACTCCGCGAAGGACTTCTCAAATGTCAAGTTGACCGGACCCGGGAAAAGAGGACCGCAAGTAACCAAGAGAACTCCCACTACGAGATCAATGTGTCGAAGCAGACAAGAAAGCGCAGGACTGGAGGCACAAGCAGCAGTGGATTGTGCTTGACTTAGTATTCTCCCATGCGCTGGCCAAGGATCCTTGGCCTGGTAATGCAGAACCCGCAGGGATCCAAGAGAGAGGAGATCGTAGGCGGTCGTCTGCAAAGACGACACCGTCGGGGCCAGCAGGCAGGAAAGGCGGAATGCCAGGAACACTCGGTGCGTGGCTTGATTTCAAGGTAGTGGTCTTCCAGTTACCCGCTGTGGTTTGTGCAACACGGGCCGAAGAGACTGATCCAGTCCAGCTTAAGACGACGACAGGGATCTTTCTTGATAAGGTTGGATCTTCTTCGAGGTGCACGGCTCAGTGATAAGAAAACCATAAGATTGTACAGGATGTGGCCATTATCTGGAAGCCAAAGCATGCGGAGTATCCTGTGCAGTTACTGGTGTACAGAGAAGGCGAAGGGCAGCCTGGGACCGAAATTGATGATAAAGACCCTCAGAGATAACCACGTCGAGGCCGTCCTGGAGCTCTTGCCACGGAGACCAACACGAGAAGGAAGCCATGGCCATCGAGGGTCAGGTGTGGGTGAGTGGCAGGAGCGAGGACAATCCGACTGCGAGTCCTCAGAGGCGGTTGCTGCCGGTCGCAAACATCGCCTCTTCTGTGCTGTTCCAGATGCCATCATGGGGCAGGTATCGTGGTGTCCGAGATGTGTATTTGGCCTATTAGCTCGTCAAGCCGCTCCTGGCTCAACTTCGAGAAGCGGATTTGTCGGTCAGCAGCGGCAAGCATTCTCTCACGCGCGTCTATGGTCGTAGACTCCATAGGACTTGCGGCAAATCGAGTGTTGCTGGTGGTGTTGCCGAAAAGGGCGGCTTCACTGATACTGGCTTCGATACCGTTCCTCACTCGAGATTCCCAAACGCCATCCCATTTCCATTCCCCAGGATGTTTGGGGGATGAGGGAGATGCATCTTGCCCGTTCTGCTCTCGGCTTCGCTGATCCCTCTGTCGCCGGGCGAGTCCACGGTGGGCGCGCCAGGCATGCCATGCGCTCGGGTCGCCTACAGCTTCAAGTGAAATCTCATCCAACAAATTTGCGTTCTCGAAGGCGTCTTGAAGGTGTTGCAAGATGGTCAGGGTTTGACTCTTCCGGCCAGGTGGCTCTGGGCTCGCTTCATTGTCCTCAGCTGCGTCGTCGAACCGGGCGTCCGCGTCGCTGGGGGTTACTGGTCGACCAGCGTCCAGCGCGGTGGCAATGGAGACGTCGTGCTTCCGATCAGTCAAGGATGCTGATGGAAACCACTGGGGAAATCCATGTCGTAGGCTAAAAGCGCCAGGTGGTAAGCGATCCTGGTCTGAAGCACTGACAGTGGCTGAGGCGTCGACGGCGCTGACGCTAAAGGTGTAAGTGGTCAACGGCACAACCAGTGGGTGAAAGATGTCGCTGGAGAAAATGATGAGCGGTGGAACGGCCGGATATGTGTCTGGAAATGATATCTGGAAGCGAAGGATCGCTCCCTCATATGGTCCTGCAAGCCGCGGTGAGTTCAATTGTATCACCGTAAGTCATTGCCTTGTTGAGGTCAGGCGATATCGTACCTTTGCGTACAAACAGCACGGCGACCCAGAGCGATGGGTCGCCAGGGGTGAGGGAGAGATAAAGTCCCTCTGGACAGCGATCTCTCAGGGATGAGCTTCATGACACGTCAGCCTGACAGGTGGCACCGTCCGCCGGCAACTTACAACTCCAAGACAAGCAGCTGTCGGCGAAAGGAAGGGAGCGTAGAAAGGGACATTGTTGGCGTGATTGAAGTTCGCTTTGGGAGATAAAGTTCGAATCGACGGAGATGATGTCCCGCCGCCGCACGCCCAGACCAAGCATCGCTAGACTCGCTGGGGCCGCGACGCTGGACAGAGAGCGAGCGACGCACACACGACGCGGTCGAGGGCGGCGATGGTGGAGCCGTCGACCTAAGACGCCCACATGCAGAGTTTCGAAAGAAGTAGCAGATTGTAGGGTCAACTGTATCTATCATTCATAGGCTGTATCGAATGGGTATCTTGCGGTAATATGCACTCTAATCATGTGCGAGAAAGGCGTCCACAGTGTGCCTGTCTCGCCTATGACGCTGCTCTTCGGCTCTGAGCGACGGCGTCAAGGCCGTCATTAACTCCGCCAACTACGCCCTCCATGAACCATGATCCCAGATCAAAGCAAGCGCCGCCCACGCGACCGTCTTTGAAGCGAACAATCGCTTGATGCAGTTCAATACCACGCTCACCAAGGGCAGATGTCACTTGAACACCATTTGAAATAACCCGTTCGGTGACCTGGTGCTGGCGTTCAAATTGGAGGAGTCGGTTGAGCAATGCCATGATCACTGGGAGGACCAGAAGCAGTCCAGCAATAAGCCAGCAGACAGCCTGCGCAATGCTTTGCCTCAAAATGTTGGGGTGTCGTGGAACGGGGAGCTCTCCAGGCTTGGCTGCTTGAGAGATGAGTTGAGGGGCCATGCTACCGCGCAAAGATTGGATCTCAAGCGGCGTCAGGTCTTGGGGAAGGGCCATGTGCATATACCGCAAAGCATCGATGTGCATGCTCCTCAACGCGATCGAGTCTCCGCCCTGCTCGGCTTGTGCTTTCGCAGACGCCCACAACCTGACTCCAGTCAGGGCAACATCCCAGTCTACACCTGATCTCGTTTCCGGACGAGGGTAATTTGTCAAGCTCGAATTTTGCGAAGGGATACTCCCCTCCGGACTCTCTGGTCGTGTTGTGGGCGTGGTAGCTCTGCTCGAGTCCGTGGTCGATGCGATGCTATAGCTTTCCTTCTCTTTTGTGGTTTCCCTGCATGACAAGGCATAACCTTCTCCTCCTCTTCGCACCCTCGAGCCGTGTAGAACGACTGTTCTCGCGGTATGCCGAAGTGAGGTCAAAACTGGTATTCTCGATCGGACCATCGACGGGATCATCGTGTAGATGGTTGACTTGGAGATGTTTCGCACAGGTAGGGTATCTGTCCCCGCGCCTATCGGATCAGTGTGAGGCATCGTCGATGTCACCTCAAGGGGGGCGTGGTGCGGGCGAGAGACTTCCCCTCCAGCGTCTGCTCTTTGACCGTGACGAGGCAGAGTTGTGTAAGCAACCAGCCGATCCAAAGAACGCTCAAAATCGCAAGCCAGGGAAGCAAAGGTAAATAGAAATCTTATCAGCGAATGAGTGTGCATGAAATGCGACCAGATCTCTCCGGAGATTGTGAGGGAGTTTTCACATGCACATGATCTTATGCACGACATACCAACAGAAAAGAAAAGGAAAGAGCCGGAAAGGTATGCAGGTCATGGAATGCGAGCATGTGGTCGGTGGCTGACAGCTCAGGTGGTCCGCGAGAGCATAGCAGAGTTAGTGCTTTGCCATTACTTCTTATGGTTTTGTTGAGGCAGAAGAAGGAGGGCCACGAGGGGCTTGAGATTCCACGAAATGAGCGCATGTGAAGAACGTGGTTCACATGTTCTGGCGGTGATTGATCGGCCAGGAATCGAGGAACCCAGATCTGGTTGCTCTTCGGCTGCTCGGTCGAAGTCCAGAAACTGTTTGAGCCTCGGGTGCGGAATTTCTTTCTGCCGCGGCTGACTCAGCCTCGTTGGTGCCGAGGCTGTGAGGGAGCCTTGTGAGTCCCGAAGCCTTGACAATCACAGGGCGCGATGCGTCTCCTGCCACGCCATCAACAGGGCGTGTGACCAGATCAGGCTGGATAGTGCCACAACGGTAGAATAGAGGCAGGCATCAAGTGGAAAGTCCTCGCAATGCTGCAAGAGAGGTGGGCTAATTATGAATCTTCATTATGAATGTTGACTCTTGTTCTACTTGGTTGCGCCAACCACGACTCCAGTCAAGCAGCTCAATGACTCCATATCCCCCTTTGATCCTTCCTCAAGAACATCCTGCGCCTTCTGCCTGACTCTGTCAAACGTGCGATGGCGTGCGCGCCCTTCCTCTCGGCTTACGAGTCGAGTGGCAAACTATGTATCTCTCGACCATCCCAATTCTTCATTCCCTCTTTGACCTTTCCCAACCCACCAAGGTGTTCAATTAAAGCCCGACATGTATCCCGTGAGCTGGCTCATGTCTTGCTCACTCATGAGCTGGGGACTGCTGTTTTGCGGTTTTGTCTGCTGCAAGGGCATACCTGCATTCATTCCCATCCCCATATTCGTCCGCGGACTCACACCGTATGAGCCGAACAATGTGTCGCCCGGGATACTGGAGGAGAAGGGGGTGGTCGAGACGGGCATGCCGCTTGCCACACCACCTCCTTGATTGTTGTCAAATTCCATATCGAAATTCATCTCATCCACTATGCCGAGGTCAAGATTGCTGAAGTCAATGCTGTCAAAGTCAAGCTCCATGCCATTATCAAACGTCGCTACTGCTGCCGAGTTTGGCATACTGCCACAGTCCGGAGTCGCCTTGAAAGAGTCACAAGTGGAGTCAGTGGACAGATTTCTCCGCGTATGGTTTTGCGAAGTCGCGGGTTTGGACTTCAGCCCTCCCTTGATCACGTATGGGGCCAAGATAGGCACTTCGGCCAGACTCTTCGAGGCCACCGTCGCCCCTGTGGTGTTACCGATGCCTTGCGAGTACTTGAAAGTGTCAAGCCACTGCTGATTGTCTGCGCAGGTCCAGTTCCACGGGTCGTTGTCCTCGTAAATTATCATACGAGCCTGATCCTGGAGGTCCTTGTCCGAAGGGATTTGCCCTAGAGCCTTTTGTTGTGAGACAAACTTGCTCAATTCTTGTTCCAGTCTGCCCCAACAGTTGGAGTCTTTTGTGATCTGATCAGGCTCCGTACTCTCTGCCGAAGTACCGGTCGTCAAGCCTCCTTCGGTCGCCGACGAGGGTGTTGCCATGGCTCTCGCCACGTATGGCTCCATTGTATTCCTTTCGTGGCCGATGAGGTAGGGCGGTATGGCGTTCTCAACCAGTCTCTCGACGTACGGTTCAAATCCCCAGTCCCCGGCCCAGTGTGCCATGTCGGCACCATTCCTGAAATGAGCAGCCAAATGATCGGCTCGCTGTTGCCACGTGGTGAACTTGGATGGACAGAAGCCACAGCCGGATTTGAGTTCGTTGGTGGTGCTCTTCCAGGTTTCCATATGAGATTGCACCTTCGCATTGTGCATCAGCTTCAGATGCTGGCTCAGGTGATCCTTCCGGTAAAAGGTACGCTCCTGCACCGTCTTCTCTTGACAGGCATTGAAATTATGTGACTCCAGGTGATCCGTAGAAGGGTTTGGCTCACGGCAGAAAACACAGAGCTCCAACCCTGTCAGAGCATCCGTCATTGTGCCTCCGTTGGGACAGCAGCTCCAGCGCTCGAGTGCCAGGTGGAGTGACTTCTCGTGCCTCTGCCAGTCATACTTGGCGGGGAACGAGTCCGTGCAGAAGGTGCATTGGAATATCCTCGCAGCTCGAGCTTTGGCTTGCTGTGCAGCGGCGCGCTGTGCCACCGGTGCTCGCCTGCGCCTCCGCCGATCTTGGGAGGAAGCGAAAGACCCCTTTGACCGATTTGATCGGGACGAGGCAAATGTGAGATCCGAATTACTGGACTCTCTGGTTTCGAAACTGCTGACGGAGGGAGCGCGGAACATGGAAAAGGACGAGTCATCTTCACTCGAAGCCTTACGAGAGCTAGGTCGCGAGTTAGGTCGGGAGCCTTGAAGACTCGAAACAGATGGATTCCGGACCGGAAGCGGTGTGGAGGTGACGGCTCTTGCAATTGCAGTCATCGACGCAGGTTCGTGTTCTGGTGGCGAGGCTTTCCATCTGTCGAGAGGGTTAAGATCTGCAATACCTGAGCCATCCTGGCTCTGGGGAATGTCGATTGCTCCGAGCATGGGAGAGGATGGACCCGACTCAGCAGGCCTGACTTTGCCTCGCCTCCGGGCATTGGCAAGCCAATTCGAGATCTGGCTTCTCTTCAACCCCGTGAGTTGCTTCAGCTCGTCCTTTTCCCGCTCGTTGGGATATGGATGATCGGCATGTTCAGCAAGCCATTGCTTCAAGATCTTAACCGCATCTCGCGGGAATCGCGCGCCAGTCTTCCGACCCCGTCCTTCCTCCATCGACTTCATAGCCCTTCGACGTTCGGTCAATGCATTTTCGGGGATCTGTTGGTCCTCGGCGATACCGGGAAAGGTGTTGACGAAACCTCGGGGGATCTTTGGGTGCACAAAGCTACATTCTCGATACAGAGAAATGCAGCACGTGCAGCCCGTGACCATGGCTCCCCTCGTAGCCAAGAAGCAATCCAAGCCCATCTTCGCGCAAAGTTCACATGGCTCTTTGGCACGAAACATGGGGTAGTCGGCCGAGATGTCAGAGGGGTGTGGAATCGCCTCGATTTCGATGTTGTTGATCAACTTCAGCATGACGGTTGTGGGTGGTGCTGGGCGGGTTGCAGGGAGAAAAGCGGACTTGTCGAAGAAAAGCGAGTCGAAGCAATCAGTGGCATCAGCCTCACACGCCTCGCCCGTCAACGAAGACAGCTCGTCAAGGTCAAGTTGGGGAATTGCATGGGAAGCATCCTCGAAGTCAAAGTACTCCATGTTTGACGCCGCTGAGCCCCGTCAGCTAGGATCCGGGTGAATGTTCGGTCCCCTCGAAGGCAGAAATGGAGGAGGGATACGGAGGAGAAGGAGGACAAAGAGTGCTCCTGCTGAGATATTCACAGCCTTCTCCGGTCGGATAGCCAATACGAAACTCCGAAGATCGGTGCGAAGAGCTTCCAGTATGACTCCCCAGGTCTGGAAGCGAGTTGTCAATGGCACGCCCTTCCCACGACATTTTGACAGGGATCTCTCCCGGATAGGCCTATTCAGGCATGGTAGTATCCACGGCGCCAGAGGTTGTTGGGCCATAGCGGACAATTCCGAGCCCGCTAAGCCGAGCAACGACGCCGTAAGTGGCTGCTTACGATGCATTCTGGAAGCCCTGGAAGCCCTGGAAGGCCCCCGGAAGCCACTTGCTGACGTTTTCTCAGCCGACCTGCAGTTGATGGCGGGGTCTATATCGCTCAAATGTTTAAGAACTGGGGGAGTCCGTTCCATCCGAGATGGAACAAGATACGCAACCCGATGTTGCATTGGTCCTGGCGTACTGGGGCCCACATATTCGATGTCCACTCGCTTGTTCATCCCTGTCTTGGATTTCGTTGGTCATGGCCGCTCACCTACACAGTACCCAGTACGAGTTACCGCGGGGCCGCGATCCAGCTGACAAAGCGTTCGATGCTGGTTGTGCTGGGTTCCCTCTTCTGTGGCCTCGACCTTGGGACACATTGGACAGGAGTCACAAATATAGAAAGGCTTCTTACTCGCTCGGCAGCTGGGTCGCTCCCCCTCAGTTGCGAGTACCTAGGTAATCTGGGGAAGTGAAAATGGGGCTTTGTCTCGTACTCGTACTGAGTGCTGGGGCGAAGTACTGTGTAGGTGGCATCTCCGGTACTCGGAGTCTGGCGCCGCGCTGTTGACTGGTGTTTCTATAGCTTGTAAGACTATCGATCTTCGATGTACCTTGACGCTTACATAGGTCAGCATAAAACCTGCTTTTTGGTGTCCATTACTGATGGTGAAGGCATCTAGCAAAAGAGAGAGAGAGAGAGAGAGAGAGAGAGCAGAATTTCTGCTACACCTTTATCTCGATTCACGATAACCATAGAGGCCGCTACCGAGCCTGTCACCCTGTGGATGAGCGCGGATATTCGCTGACCTGCCAGAGCGAGGGCCACGTCTGTTGGAAGGCTCAGATGACCGATTCCCAAGTCATGGCCCCGGCATACACCAGGTGGTAGTACGAGACTGGCTTATCTAACGACCGAGGAATGGCTGAACCCTAATGGGCTGATCGCTATGCTTGTTCTACGTTCCCGAGTCATCATCACTGGAATGATCATACTGCTCGGGTAGCCGCAACTGACATTGCTGGGCGCGGGATGTGCTTTCGAGCATTTGCTCATTCACCACCGATTCACTTCAGATGTCATTACCAG